TGAATGTTTTTTGTCATTTGGCAACATTTGGGAAATTCTGTTGGTGCTGCTCCCTTCGACCATTGCTATTTGATATGAACTATTTATGTTTCATTTGGCATAATTTGGGAAGTTCTGTTGGTGCTGCTCCCTTCGACCTTTGCTATTTGATATGAATTATTTATGTTTCATATGGTAGCATTTGGGAAGTTCTATTGGTGCTGCTCCCTTCGACCATTGCTATTCTATATGAATTATTTATGTTTCATATGGTAGCATGTGGGAGTTCTGGTGGATTAATTATTGTTGTTTCCTTCACTGTTTTTTTGATTGTTTTCCTGTTCTGTAGTTTTCCCTGGTTTATCTGACAACAGAATTTCTGCTCTCTTAAATTCTTTTTTGCATACATTTGTTGGGGTTGTTGTAAGGTTGGAAGTTCGATTAATGTTGTATTGCTGAGGTTAGAAGGTAATAAGGTTGGAAGCTCGGATAATGCTGTATTGCTTTCAATGACATTGTGGTTTGAAGTTTTTTTTACCTACTGGAATCATTCCAATTGAGATTTGCTTATGCCTGCTTAGTTTTTCCGATATAGGGATCCGAATTTCTTGGTTGTGTCTGCTTTTCGTTTATTGTTCATATGCATATATGAGGCTATGTTTTTATATTAGGCATTCAAATGACATATATGGGGCTTTCTGGTTTTATATGAAGCATTCAAATGCCATATATAAGACTTTCTGGTTTTATATGAGGCTTTTAAATGGCATATATGAGGCTTTTTGGTTTTATATGAAGCATTCAAATGCCATATATGAAACTTTCTGGTTTTATATGAGGTTTCAAATGGCAAATATGGGGCTTTATCCATATATCAGGCATTTAAGAGGCATATGTTGAGGCTTTTTTCATACTTGAGGCAAACATTAGTTGAGCAACTTTTTTTAGAGACCAGAGAACAATGCTTATATGGGGTTAGTTGAGAGCATGTTGTAGAGTTGTTCATTAAGATTTAAAGCTATGTAACCTAACACAATTGCTTAATAAAACTTATTCGATTCCTTTCTGTGAATGTAGGTCTATGACCGAACCACATAATTCTTTTGTGTACTTATATTTTTTGTGTTGATGAGAAAATTGCAAATCTGTCGAAATGCTTTGTGATGGCTATGGATGTTAACTTATGATTGCTGTGGAAGTAAACTGGATGAAGTTGGGCTCAAACCATACATTGTTTGTCATTGATAAGATTTTTTTTTTCTAACAAGAAAACATGAAGCGGGTACTTATTTTCCTTTGTTCCATATAGTTCCAACATGTCTAAGGCGACTGAAAGGAGAGTGTCTGCTATGTGGGATAAAGATGTAATAAATATTTTTTGTGATTTATGTATTAAAGAAATACAACTGGGAAATAGGCCAACCACGTATTTCAATAAGAAATGTCGACAAAATATTGCTAGAAGGTTCAAGGAATTAATAGGAAGGGATTACGACGGACTAAAATTTAAAAATAAATAGGATCAGTTGAAGGAGTGAAAATTTTGGAAGGAGCTCAAACGTGGATCTGCAGGGTTGGGTTGTGATCCCGTTAAGCGAACCATCGATGCTCCAAATGAATGGTGGGCTGAATAATTGGAGGTAATAAATATAATCTTATTTTGTTAATTCCTGTATTTTTTGGTTAATGCCTAAACCCACCTGATTCCATTCAATGTTGCAGGTTATGCCAACAACCAAAAAATATAAGCGATACAAAATTGAGCCGGAGTTTGAAGAAAAACTGGACATCATGTTTAAGGGGGTTGTCGCGACTGGATAACATTCATTCAACCCAAGTGAGATGGGATTCAGAGGCATACCAGATGACTTGTCACCTGAACAGGTTACACCTGATGAAGAAGGGTCTAGTATTAACCAAAAGAAGATGGAGGAGTCCTGTTCAATGTCCAAGAGGCCCAGGCTTAGCAGGAGGAAAAAAGAGGACACTTTCGTGAAAAGCTCGTTTGATCAACTAATTGTTACTTTTGCAGCTCCACCTCCTGTAGCTCCCCCTGATAGCAGCATATTTGACTGCCTTGTCATTTTAGATGCTATTCCAAAAGTAGCTATCGATATGCGCTTTCAGACAAAATGTGTTAAAAAACTTGAAGACCCTACTCGGAGGCAAATGTTCATGACGCTATGACCCGAGCTGCGCATTGAATATTTACGTGTTTTATTAAAAGAAAGAGTCGGTTTAATATTAAGCTGTAACTAGATTTTCTCATGTATTTTTATCATAGTAGTTTTATTTACTCTCATGAATAATTTATGTAAATATTTCTCTGATGATTTGTAGTTAATGATGTTTTTGCTATTTCATTTTCATGTCACCACTTCTCCATCAATTATTTCATCCTAATGCATTTGAACTTTCAGGATGTATCCACAACAAGAACACCGTAAAAGAATGATATGGGCTGCAGCTATAGCGATTTTATTTCTGGAGTACTACCGCTCCAGCACTGGATGGATACCTCAAATGACATCCTCATATGTTGGGAACAAATGGTTGGGTGAGATGCTTGTAGAGCATCCGATAAAATTCAACAACATTTTTTGAATGACTGCGCACATATTTATGGATCTTTTTCACGAGTTATGTCGTAACCACGACCTCCAAGTTTCTTCTAGAACGACCACGAGAGAGGTCTTAGCTATAACATTGTACATTCTCTCACAGAACGAATCAGTTAGAGAAGCTATGAAGCGATTTCAACATTCCTCAGAAACAATTAGTCGACACTTCTCCAAATGTATACAAGCATTTGTGAGTTTAGCACCACAAAACATTAAGCCAGCGGATCCATCGTTCGCAACTATTCCTGAACAAATTGCAAATGATCCCTATTACATGTAGTATTTCAAAGTTTTATTAATTTGTTACTTTAACTTTGTAATGAGTTGAGTTGCTAACTATGAATAGCATAACTACATTGAAGCAATCGACGGTACGCACGTAGATGCCCGAATACCAAGCCACAAAAAGATCGCGTACATAGGTCGGAGTGGTACAACTACCCAAAATGTTATGGCAGTGTGTGACTTCAACATGTGTTTTACAATTGTACTTGCGAGATGGAAAGGAAGTGCACATGACAGTCGTCTTTTTTCCTATGCTATTAGGAATAGAACACAGTATTTCCCCCACCCGCCTCCAGGTTTGTTCATCTCACTTGAAGCTGTAAATTACATGAAATATTTTTCATTAATATTGTCTTTCATAACAGAGAAATATTATTTGGTTGATGTCGGATATTCGATGCAGAGAGACTACCTGAAGCCCTATCCGGACACCAGATATCATATTACTGATTTTGAGCAAGCAAGTGACACGATCCGTGGCAGAAAAGAAATGTTTAACAAAAGACGGCCTTTTTTACGCGGGATAGTCGAAAAAACATTTTGGTTGTGTGGAAGAAGAAATAGGTCATCCCACGTGACGTCATATCTATTTCCCAAACATGTGCATATTGTGGTGGCCACTATGACACTTCACAAATTCATCCGACAACATTCCTCTCATTCAGATACGGACTTCACTTTGCTGATGACGATCAGTTTATTGTCTCTCCAGAATCTTCAGAATCTCTCGCTGGTCAATCGTTACCTGAGGATGAGATCGAGTCGCTTAAATTGGAAACTCAGGATGGTGAATCTGTAGCCAAGATGATTGCTCTGAGGGAGTCTATCGCAGATGTTATTTCTGGATGTTGATCCAGCCATGCTTCTTTATTTATTACATTTTTATTTGGGATGTAATTCATTGCAGTATGGATTTGTATTTTATGTTTTTATTCAGAATTTCGTATCTTTCATTGAAATGCTCAACTCTATAATTATGACGTGTTAGCATTTTGTTTTATATTCTTTGTTTTGTTTATGTTTTGTTTTATTTCAATTCTCATATATAAAGCTTTATTTAAATTTATGATCTGACAAATGTTCTTTTTTGGTTGTTTTATCTCATTAGCAACATGAGCTCTAGGATTTCACGAACCTCCTGAGTTATGTTGTGTTACTGCGGACTACCGACTCCCTTACTCACGTCACGCCAGCCTCATAGCAGTGGGAGACAATTCTACGATTGTCAGAGGTGTGTTTCAGCACGATGCAGTTTCTTCCATTGGGCGGACATTCCGACATACTCATATGCAAATAGTCATCGAGATACGATGGTTACCCAATGGGATAGTGCCACTGAGGACAGACAATGTCAGAGTTTTAAATTGAACGCCTTAATTTTTTACTTTTAATTGTAATTGTATTTCTTTTGATACTCACAAAATGGTGAGCAATGCATTTACATTTTTGTAACCGCACTGTAATAGTTTGAGACTTTTGTTGTTTCTATTATGTTCCCCATACAACTCTATTGCAAACAGTTTAACAAATCCAGGGGCAGAATGATCATTTATCCAACTACAGCTCCCAGTAAGTTGTTCTGAATAAGCTGCCTCAAACAACAAGCCAGCTTATTCTGATAATCTGCAGATTGTCAGATTATCAGAATAAGCTGCTTATCAACAGATTATAAATAATCAATAGTTGTCCCAAACAAATCATAAATATTATACGCTTAATATACAGTCTAGTAATCACAATCTCTTTATTTTTTGAACATTTTCTCAGTATTCTAACTTTTTGCTGCATAAATAAAAATCAGCCTCCATTTGCTTAGAATATTTCAATGTGATGGTGAAGTTGTTTGCACAATGACAGTAAAAATAAGAAACTTGAGCAGCAATTTAGTCATCCAAAATAACTGCAATCTAGACGACATACTGCTTATTCTTTTCGTGATCGCAATTTATAAATGACAATAACTACAGAAGTGCACTAAAGTAATTTGTCGGTGAATTTGCCTATTTCTAGAATCCCTAATGCATGAGCTCAATTAAAATATCCATTAAAAAATCAGTTACGACTATCAATCTTTTAAAGTTAATTAAATTAATAAAAAAACCAAAACATACATACTTGCGGTATGATATTTTTCTCCATTGCATCCTTAAAAAGCGGAGGTGGAGGCAAGTCAAGGCCAAGCATCAAGAAAGGTACTCGTGATGTTTCCCTTACAAAATTATTGCCATCTGGAGCACCCTCCTTGCTCTCCTCATCCCCATTCTCTCTCTTCTCTATGAAGGGCCTCTTGTGGATCTCTTTCACAACCTCCAACTCTCCCTAACATGAGAATAAAATCAAGTCTTACCGAAATAAATCTAAATTCAAAAAAATAAAACCAGAAGGTTTAACATAATTGGTACCTGAAAACAATCATGAATAATGCTTTTGTTTTTGTTCTTTGGATGCCTTAGCTTTGCGTGCAACGTATTCAATAACCAAGACATGAATTCAACAGGATCAGATTGAACACCAATCTGGAAACGCTTATTACTAGCCTTCATGACTGCTTGAAGAAACTCATGCGGGCTGACCTGTGAAGAAAGAATCCTACTCACATTTCTTCAGCATACATAGCGTGAGTCCCGATAAAAATAAAATATTGACAAATTTACCTGTCCTTTGAAGTTCCTCGAATGCCAAATTTTCCTAGTCAATTCACCAAAACGATGAACAAGTGGAGACTTGCTGCTCCGATAATTCTCAGGAATGAGGAAGAAATTCCTTAAAGGTGTAACTCGCATTAGAGACTGGATTGTGACATTAACAAAATCAGTCTCCTTGATATTATTAAGGCCAACCTAGACAGAGAAAGAGAGCAGAAATCCCGGTGAACAACAAAGAACCAATATGCAGTTCAAATCAATGACGTAAAGCATTCAGAGAAGCTACTACAAAAAATGAACTTCGAAGAAGAGCACGAGCAAAAAACCAAAGTCAAAAGAGACTAAGTAGGCTGAGAGTAGCTGGATGTGGCAGAGTAGCTGGATAATGTCGTACAAAAATTCAAAGATAATGTTGAAGGTGGTTCGAACCTGAATAATGGACGATAGAAATGTAGGGCGGATGACCCACCAAAAGCAGACAGAATTAATGTGGGAGGAACAAAGACAAAGTAAAGGCCAAAAATAACTTGGCCAAAACACTATACCTATTGACATGTAAAGTATAATTAACCTGATATGAAGCTTAATAGGAATGAATACAGAAGAAAGATTCACAAAATCAATCATATATATTTGATAATTGATGAAATGAATGGAAGTATTGATGGGATCATACATTGTTTAATAGGCCATTAGTATGCCCATGAATTATTTAAAACACCAACGGCAGGCCAAATCACATGAGACTCCACAAAAATTACCATTCCAGGAAGATAGTTGGAGCCATCAAGTGCCCTTGACCACTGCCCATTCTCATCCAGATGCTCAACTTGTTCCCTAAAAAATCTGTAAATAAAAATGAGAAGAAAATCAATCATGAAAACATAAAAATATAACAAAATAAAATAAAGGACCCTAGTCGAGACAAATTGCCGAGAAACAAGCAGAAGATAAGCATTAAAATATGCAGAGTCAAAGAACCAAACAGACGCAAGAAATGATGACGACCCTCATAAACTAGACCCTGGTAAACTGAGCAGGTTAATCTGCATTAAATCTTCTAAGAAAGAGACAACAAAAAAGGAAATTAACTAAAATCATAAAACTACAGAAAAAATGAGAAGTGTGTGAACATCACTCATATCATAAAACGGATTGCACTTTATTTTGTGGTATGTAAATCCTGCATAATTTTTTCCTACTAGCTACAATGACATATCTTTGTCGCATTAGGGTCTTTCTTTTCCTTCTCTAAATTTGGGATTCAGGTCAATTACTGTATAAGCTGGTTTACAGATCAATGGCGTGCTTCTGTTATGAAATGAAAATTTCAAGATCAAACAAGATCACTTAAAATTACATCATCAACATGCATCTATAAGGTTACGACTCCTACATCCCGAGCATTTAATGAATAACATGCGATCCTTCTATATTGGGAATAATAATTTCATAATCTAGGAATTAATTTGAGTTATTGTCATGAAGCATGCCAGAAAGTACATTGTTGGACGGTTTTAATTCAAAACCCTGTGCTTATTAGAACTAAACATAAATGTTTAGTTGAATATTGAAAAACAAGGCCTTCCAACAATTTATTATCATCAAGTAGAAAGCTTATTGCATGTCCCTTAAAAACCCTAATCAAGCACGCAAGAAAATATTCTACATATGGAATTCCTTAAAAACCTTTATTGAGCTTCTTGATTTCTTGTATACAACCCTAGGTATTTGAAGAAATTGTAGGTGGCATAAAATCCCATCGTATCCGTGGCATTCTGCATCATCACCTCAAAGTTAATTCGATATTACAAGACAACCAAGTTGTAGAGTCTACTTGATTCCCGATAAAAAAACGTAATTATAAACACTGCTGCTCATTATGGAGTTCAGTGGCAAAGAAACTTTTTGACAAGCAAAGCTGACATTTTCATAGAATACAGTTTAATTAATAAAAACCTTCAGCTATAAAACATCAGCCAGGAGGAAAACTTTGACTATAATGAAAAACTTAGATATACAATCAAGTGAAGCAAAAATTTCCACAAAATGAACAACATATTTCATCTAACCGGTGTAGTTGTCACTTCCAGAAAATTTTGACATAAAAAGTGCAATGCAAAATAACGTAGAGCCAAAGATAAACACCGAGACATCAAGAGTAATTGAGAAAAAGGAACAATAAGGAAGAAAATGGTAATACCTGGGATTTAATACATGTCGTATATCATCCAGTGATGGATCATTCACTTCATAGCCATCAGGAAGGCAATAAACCTTTTCTGTTTGAAGATTGATATAGACATGGTGACCATTTTCTAGACTATGGGTATATGCATGAGAATTCAGACCCCTTCCTTGATAATATTTGCCACAAACTAAACATGCATATACATTTAAATTTGAAAGAGAGACTGAGCAAAACTTCTCAAAATCAAAGTCCAAAACCTGCATATGAAAACGGGTGAAAGCCATTAAAATTACAATCCAAGAGAAAAGGCTCCATGCGCTAGAATCTCCAACCAGGTGAAAAATATTATACAAAAAAATGTATCGAAAGCTCCAAAGATGCAAAAATAAATAAATAATTTTTTTTATCAAGATCTTTAATCAACAATAATGTTCTTTGATGCTTTGAAACTATAATCAGAAGCACATGAGTTCTGCAGCTTTGAAATAAAATAAACAATGGAAGTAGGATTAAAAGGTACATTTTATATGCAAGCACATGCAAATCAAAGCCAAAAGTACTGCAAGTCACTATATTTTTGTGAGAACCAATGCACATTTTGTTCTCTATTAATAAATATTAACCAGACGAGTTTCTTCTACCAAAGTGGACCCAAAGAGTAACTAGATCATGAACTGCAAGGAAAATAACTGTCATGTTAAATCATGAAACAGCTTAAAATCACATTAGAATTAGAGAAGGGGAAACCACTTTTAACAAATTCTGCCACCAAGAAAACAGCCACAAAGTGCTGAGTCACGAGTAAAATGTTATAGCTATACAATCTGCTTAATTAAAGTAATATGCTTGCAGACACAAGTACTCAAAGAGAGCAACAGGTAACTTGACACACATTGCTCCTTATAGCAAAGTATTCCTCACGAGTAATCTGCGCCAAATTTCAGCCAGTCAGCCTATCCAGAATTGTAATAATCTAGTTCTGGCTAGGGGTGAAACTGAGTAAAGCCGACTCGTGAGCCAGATCGATAAGTGGCCCGATGAGCTAACAAGCCAAGCTCAAGCCAGCCCCGACTCGATTTGTAAGCATGTGAGCCGGCTAGTTTAAAAAATATTAACATAAAATATACTCAGATATATATTAAATTTCAAAACTTTATCTTTAAGGTATTAAAAATATTAAATAAATAATATTTTTTATTGTATATTAGGTGATGTCTTAAAAAATTGTTCATTATATTTGTCAACTTATTATAAAGCTAGTTCAAATTAATATTATTTTCTCTCATTTATATTAAACAAGTTGGCTTGAGTTGGCTCAAACTCATAGACTTAAGCTTGAGCTCGAGCTCGATAAAATTAATCATGCTTAAGCTCAAGCCAAGGGTGGCTCAAGCTCGACTCAACTCGTTTACACCCCTAGTTCTAACAAACAATCCAAGCCAAGAACTCCCTTCGAGACAAGGAAGCTTCTGATGGGAGGTACGTGCTCCTCTTCTTAACACAACTGGTTGGAGAAGATGATAGCCAGATTGTCTTCATTTTTGGGATCAAAATAGAACAATAAAGAGAACGAAGGGTGGCTCACACAACATTTTTGCAGTAGATGCAGGGTCGCCATCATCACCAATGGCTATGCTAGACCAATCGAAATCTATTTCCGGTTGCTTGAAAGTGAGGGAAACTCAAAGTCTTTTTTCATGTTATTGTATGCTGCCATTATATGATCAGGTATGTTGCCCCTCAGCCTCATCCACTATCTTAATTCCTCCTGTTGGTCTCTATCTCGATATTTGCATCATGATTAGAGCATCTTGGTGTCACCTTCCATCAAAACGTTTGCAAAAAAGAACCTCCATCCTATTATTTTCAAATATTCACACTCAGGTCTCTTTTGAGACGCTTCGACATCTATACATGAGATCAAATAAACCTAAACACAAAATATCTTGTGAGCATGTCAGGAAATTTATGGTGAAGTTTTTTGTGAACCTGTAGTCTGCCCTCTACTTTTTAAGTTATCTTAAGAATGGTTCAAAAAAATCTCATTTTAATTGATCATGAGATTTTTGTTTATCTATTTCATTCTGTTTCTACTTTCTTTCTATATCTCCGTTGGTTTTTTTTCTTTTCCCCTCTTTTTTCTGCATCCCTTAATTTTGTATTGCCTCTCTTTTTACATCCCTCCTTCCCCTAAAAGATCAACAAGGAAAAGGATTCTTCTGGGCGTGATATTCATTGGTCTTCAAATTATTCCTTTGAATGGAAAGAATACTAGATAATGTTACATGAATACAATCTTTTCAAGAGGTATACTTTAAGAACTCAAGTGAAGTGTAGTCTTTTAGTGGTATCACCCTTGCTGGTGAAAACAAAATTGAAAATTATGTATAAGCCAAATATTTTCACGACCCCATAAAAGGATCAGACACAAAAACTAATATCATGCCTCCACTTATTTTTAACAGATATCTAGTGTGGGTCAAAGCTATTAAATAGCCTTAGTGCTTTTTCAAAGATTCAAATTACATTTATCACGTTACAAAGCTAATCCGCCGCTTGTTCCGGTTGGGGGTTCGTTGTGCATATCAAAGAAATTCAAATGAAGCTCTTAAAAGTAAAACCATGGGACTGCAACATCTACATCACCAAGTTCTCTAGTAAATCAAACGAAATGTGAAAATGCTTGGGTTAGCTTTTCGAGTTTTTATTTTATTTTATTTTTATTTTAGGTAAAGCAGCCAACTAAAAACTATCTTTATTTAGACAAAAAATTAAACAACTTTTTCTCTGTTTTCACAAAATGTCTTAAAAAACTGCTTTTGAGAATGCACAATAGAAATTGTTGTTAAATGGCTTTTAAGAATTACAACCCGCCCCAAAAGAAGCCCAATTATCCCTTTAGGGCTTTTAAATGGGTTGAATCATCTACATCCATGACTCTTGAAATTAAAGTATTGAGACGATCAAAGTCTCCTTGTTTCAAGACCCTCCCTCGACAGAGGTTGGATTGAATCTTTCCCATTACGAGTTCTCCTAAAATTATACAGAGCATTGGTTGAAAACTCTCCATGTATTGGAGTTCTCAGAAAGCTGTTGAATGCATATTTAGGTGATGCATGCAAAGAAAAGGGTAATGTGATTTGCAGCTACTAAATAATTTAACTTTTAAGGAATAAGGTATGGGTTATCATACAGAGACTGATGGGCTATAGGTATGCTTCCTAGCCTTTTTTTGAAGTTAAATAAGATTCCTGAACAATTATATTTTGGGAAAAAAAAAACTATAAACTGCTTAAATAGTTTTAGTTTTGATCCCTTAGTAGTGATGCACATGATAATAGCACTTAAATTAAATAACCACAACACTCCTAAAGCTGCTTCCCATGCCAACACAACTAGTACTATTTAAATAAAAAACACACATCTTTAACCGACTAAGACACCGCAACTACAAATGTTGGACATAATCTATCAATGTAACAAGCTATTGGACCTTCTCCTAGCCAAAAGATTATCAAGAATATATTCCAATGGATGTATGAAATTTGAGTGAATACAAGGTAGTTTTTACTTACTCGATTTTCTCCCTTTATAAAAACTTTGCACCCTTCATTTATGCAATTCTACATGACATTGAAACTCTTCACCTTAACAATTATTTCCCATTTCTCTCTACACCACTCTCCCTTATTGCTCTCCAAAATATGTAGGCGGCCACAAACTTAGACATGGACGTAAATGTAGCACTCCTCAATCACAATGCCCAATACAATCTATGGATGCTCATTGATCAAAACTTCGCAACAACATTACTCTCCATTGTCTCAACCATCCACTAACCCAAGCCTCAACCTCAAATAGAATCATATGAACATTACTCTCCATTATTCTTCACAAAATTTTGGGTCATCATTGATTGCTAACTGTAGTCCGACAATAAATCTGTATCATCAAACCTAAGAATGACCGTCACAATATGATCGTGAAAGGTCAACAAATGACTCCATACATATCTGAAATCAAAATGAAGGTTGACACTACTGTCATCGGCTAAAAATTGGAGATAGAGGACATCATTCACAAAAGCTTCAACAACCTACCACACAATTATCAAGCCTTCAAGGCTACAATTTATATGAACCTTTAACTTATAAGCATGGATGAATATAGTCACTCTTGTAGTGAAGAAACTAACATGACACGAAAGTTCACCCGTGAAATGCAATTTGTACATCACAATTACCTTTGAATGACCATCAATTATAAGAGGCAAAGCAAAGTCAGAGGCCGCACCCCTCCAGTTAACATCAATCGTGATTGCAACACCCAGATCGTTAAAAATCTAGCCACAAATCAACTCCTCACTTCAAATGAAACATATGAAACTCTTCCATCATATGTCAGATATCTGACAAATGAAGGAACTCACCCACCAAATGCTAGTATTGAGCACACCTCATCCATCAAACTCATCTCATCAAAATATCAAACAAATCCACTAATTTCTCAAAACAAAGTAACTTCTCCCATCACCTCCGATTGCAATCAACTCCAAGTCCAACAACAATATGATGGAGCATAGCAGGACACCATAAGCATTGGATAACCCGTCCCCATTTCACACCCCGGTCAATGCATCCTTTTCAAACCCAATCATAACCTCACCTACTATATGTTCCTAATATTTAAGAAAATCTTCTCTCTATCCACAAACTCGTCGCTAGCAATTCATAATCCATCTCTTTCAATGTTTTCTGCTACATTACAAAGGACTGAAGAATAAATCAAATGATTGTTCAAAGTTCCAACCATAAAGCCCTATTTCCAACATAAACTCATCACCAACCCCCACAACAACATAGTGCCACCATCCTAAACTTATTGTCATCACACCCAAAATTTGGTATCGACGGCTCGAACAATCACACATCAACACTCACCACTTTATCAAATTCAAATAGAGCTCTACATCTCTCAAAAATGCCTATAAACTATAACTCTTATTGCTTAGATAAGAGTCACAATTTTTTTTAAACTATCTACTAATCATGGTTTTTTTATTAAAGTATATAAGCTCAATTGTATGGGGTCCATCTCAAAACAAGGTCATACATACTATGTATTGTTCATCGATGACTGATCTTGACAAGAGTCACAATTTTTTTTTAAACTATCTACTAATCATGGTTTTTTTATTAAAGTATATAAACTCAATTGTATGGGGTCCATCTCAAAACAAGGTCATACATACTATGTA